TTTGTGTGTGGGAGTGGGGTAGGGTGGGGTAGGGTGGGGTGGGTAGATGGTGGGAGCTAGTGGGGAGGGAAGCTGGGAAAGAAAATTCTAGGCAAGAGGAAGGGCACTTAGAGGTGAGACAACTGGAAACCACTCAGGCCTGGGAGGAGCATAATGAAAGATAAGATTAAGAGGACAAACTCATCTCTTTTAATCAAGGAATTTGAATTTGATCTTACAATATATTTAGGAGTCACTTAATCACTAGGAGAGTATACGTATTTTAATTCACCTACTTTACTAATGTCATCTCTTTCACTGTCAATGAAATATACCTCTCCTCCCACCCTACCCACCCCATGCTAAAAATCAAAATTATATTCCTGGAATTCAAGGATAATATTATGGATATATTTGTCTTTTTTTTATGACACACTTAAAATTTTTTTTCTGGGGTTTTATTTTTTATTCATTTAGTAACTCACTGTGGTCCTATCTTTCCCCCCATTAAAGTCATCTTCAAATTATTAAAGTAATAGCAGTTATTCCAATTTAGCAACATCAGGAAATATAAATAAGTCATTATTAAAATCCAGAGCTTATTGAAGAGTCTTAAATATCAGGTGGCAAAGATTTGAGGCTTCTAAGACACTAAAAAGACAATTCACAAAGACATCTCAGTTGGAAGTTAAGAAAGTCTCACTCCATGACTTTTTAAGCTTCTCTTAGCTTAGCGATAAGAAATATTTTTTTGAAAAGAAAATTGTGGAGCTGGGTGAGAAAGGTGAAAGGATTGAGAAATACAAATTGATAATTACAAAACAGTCACAGGGATGTGAAGTACAGCATAGAAAATATGGTCAATAATATTGTAATAACTGTGTCTGGTGTCAGAAGGGCACTAGACATATAAATGTCTAATCACTGTGTTTAAACTAATATAATATTGAATGTCAACTGTAATAGAAAAACTATTTAATTGAAAAAAATAATGGAAAACTTTAAGATAGGTTTCAAATCCAGAGTCTCATAGTCTATCTGTATGTGATCCTTAGCAAATTAGAATATTGTCACTTTGTAATTTTGTGGCAAGGATGCTTCTGCAAAATTTTTTGATGCCAGTGTGTAGAAGAAATGCCAAACAATTTATTCAGTGCCTTTTGTTTTTCTGCCAACACTGCCCCCCCCCCTAATTCTATAGCTTCCAAGGTTGCACCAAAAAAGGCTTTTAGATATATATGTACATGAGTGTGCATACATAAACAGATATATCAGTTCTCTTCTTTATATAAATGTATGCCTTATATACTTGTTACATATTTAATAACATACATCTAATACATACATTTAAACTAAAGAATTGGAAAAAATGTGGCTTTTTAGATCTGTAAATATAGGTATACTAAAAGCCTGCTGCAGGGATTCATGCACAGGTGGGGTTCCTTGGCTTGGCCTGCAGGGATAGGGCAAAAACTATCTCTCTGACATCCCCTGAGAAGAGTCCCAGATTGCAAGGGGGCGATGGTTAGATGAAGTATCCTGGAATCGGGCTACTTTCTCTCTGGTTCTGGGTACACCACCTGAGAACCACAGCTGCCAAGTCACCACAGTTCAGCAGCACCTGCATTGAGCATCTGCCCCCTGGTGGTCAGTGCACATCATAGCTACAGCCAGTTGGCTGGTCAGCTGGTCACTTAGTCTTGAGCTGCCCTCTGGTGGTCAGTGCACTTCCACAGTGGGAGTGCTGCTCAGCTGACAGACAAATGCAGAAGCCAGAGGTCAGGCTCATGGACTGACGAGTGCAGCTCTGGCAGTGTGAGCCTCTCCTGCCTCCATAGTACCACTACCAGGCATAGTGGCACAAGATCAGCAGGAGTGGTGCAGTGCCCAGCCTGGGCTTGGGCTGCTCCCCAGCACACTGCTGCATCCCTCGAGGTATGCTGGACTGCTGGTTTCACCCCAAGGGATCCCAGATTGCAAAAAGGCACAGGCCAGGTTGAGGGACCCCACGAGTGCACGAATCCATGCACCAGGCCTCTAGTATATAGATAATTGTTTTTTTGGAGGACAAACTAAGATGTTTAGATATCCTAAAACTTGGTTCTAACACAGTGATTATCAAACATTTTAATATGGGATTTGGGGGAAAGAAAACTCAATAAAACCCATTGCTCTGTGGGTGGCCTAGTACTTTTTCTATTAGTTAAATACAGCTTTGATGGATTCAGACATCAATAGATCTTTTGCCACTGAGTCACACAAAAATAATAATAATTTAAAAAGGAAAAAGAAAAAAGAACATTCATTTGACAATTGCATTTTAACACACATAAGAGCAACATGACCTGCCTCATATAGGGGGCGGGGGGGTGGGAAGAGGGGCGGTGGATAAAAATGGAAGCTAGACTTTGTTGCTGACTCAAGAGAGGGACCTGGCTGCAGTGGCCAGATGGTCCAGTAACAAGCTTAGTCAGCTAGAACCATTTGGGAAACACAGATCCTCTCCATGAGCAAATCTTTTTGTCATTCCTGGAGAATAGTCACATTCTATGGCCAAACCACCATGGAGTTAGAATGGAACCAAGCTGATGAAAATTAAGTCCAGTTGATTAAACACTCTGAACTCTGACTCTGACAAATGATCAGCTTCACAGCTGAAAACTGGCAGTGGCTAACAGATGCTAAGAGATAATGATAGTTGCAGCCAACATGGATTTAGTTTTTATTTTATGTACTCTGTATTGTTTTAAGCTCTTTGCATGCATTAATTCATTTAATTTTCTCAACAGCTCTTTGAGGTAAATAACAATATCATTCCCATTTTATTATACATGAGGAAAATGAGTCACAGAAATGTTTTATTTAAAAAAATAATAATAATGCCCATGTCTTGTAACTAGTAAGTCAGGAAACTAGGTAGGCCTCAAACCCAGGAAGCAGACAAGAAACATGAACAAATCTATAGAAACATGGGCAACCAGAAGAGAAGCCATTGTCATAGTCTATAAAAATCTGTTTTAGGAGAACACAAATTACAATGAGTTTTGCTTCAGACGGTAGAAAGTATGACTCATGAAAGTCATTATCCAAAGAAGCATAAAGGGTGGAACTACAATTCTATATAAGCAGGAGACTTAAGGTTTTTACAGATTTGGTGGTCTAGAAATTGTGTTACTGCCAGTGGTAAACTCACGTGTTAGTATGACCATACCATTTGAATGGATGGATGGATGTGAGGAATATATATGTACTTTGAAATCTCACAGGAAATTTTCTTATGCATAGAGTTTGAGGTCTGGTGATTGCATTTACCCTTTTGGGTTTCATCTGGAGAAAGAATTTAGATAAATTCCATAATACTATTTTGCTTCAGCTAGATTCGTAAATGCAAGCAACCTAACTGGGAGTGAAAAAGAAGTAGAATGGCTCTTGGCATTATCGATTAAGATAATAATGCTACATATCAATTTCTAAATCTTAGTGCATCAAACAGTAAAGATTTATTAAAGATGTCTGGGATGGCCTTGACTGAACTTACCTGGGCTTATACATTTTTTCTGTGGTCAATTACACATTATCTATATACCCTGCTGATCTTACACAAGCTCACTCAAATGTGGGTGGGTGCTGGCCACTGAATGATCTAGTTTGGCCTTGGCTGGAATGGTAGGGATGACTCATCTCTGTTTGTAGCTCACCTTCCAGCAGGACAGGCTGGGCATATTCAAGTAGCTATGCAGAGAAGCAAAATATGCAAAGAAGCAAGCCCCAATGCTTAAAAATATTTTGTATCATTTGCTAATATCTCATTGGCCAAAACAACTAATATGAAGTCAGACTAAGAGTCAGATTGATCGAGAGAACTCAACAATACTACATGGCAAAAGGAAAGGATATGGAGAGGAATAAAGAAGTAGAACCGTTAGTACAACTAATTTCTAGTGGAACACATTTTTCCCTCCCAGAGTATGGGGTGAGGAAGAAAGAGTTCATTTTGATTTTCAAACTGTAAACTTACAAATTGATATTTGGTTTGTGCTCAGACAAATAAACTCACAAAAAACAAACAAACTAACAAAAAACCCTCCCAGGCATGTTAGTGCATTGATCAGGTTTGTTAGGCCAATATGGCTCTTTAAAAATTCATTCATTTTTAAATATGTTTGTAATAATATTAGGCAGCAATTTTAACAGTAAAGTAAGGATGTGGAGGTGGCGCCAATTCACGAAGAATTTCTTGCTCTGTTACGTTTTCAAAAGATTATCATTTTGCTGTGTAATTGCAGAAGAGGAGTTCTGTCAGACTTTAGCTTGGGTCACTTTTTCTTAGGAACTAATGTTCATAAGTCACTGATGTCCATATTTCCCCCCATCATCTATAATTTGTTTGTTAGGGTCATATCCTTTGGCTGTATTTTATAGTGTGAGTTCACTTAATATTCAAATCATTAGTCCCTCTGGGATTCTGACTAGATTTTACTGAGAAATTGGAGTGAAATGGGTTGTACGAACAATCAATTTCCAGTTTTTATGAAATTGTAGGGGATAATGAGAAAAAAATAGCTCATTTGGTTGCAATTAGCAAAATAGCCCCCTTTATGAAAAGAAGCTCCTAAGTACCTCTTTCCAAAATAGAATTTGACAGTTTCTACAGTGAAAACAGAGTTGATTTGAGGGAGAAATATTTATCCAAACATGAATACTGGTTATGAATGTTTCTAACACAACTGGAAGGGGTCAACACTGGCTGGCCTCTTTACTTCTAAGGCAAGTACGCATTCTGCTTCAGCTGATTATTTTTTCAACAATATTTGTTATATGCTTTTATGGTCTGCCAGGACTTTTTTGAAGCCCAGTTAGATCAGCAGCCAACATAGCTGAGACTAAAAGGGGGCCAAATATCTCCCCAGAAGCAAGACTACTTCAAAAGATATGCGTTACAAAGCCCTACTGTGACTCAAATAATCACTCATTTCTAAGGGGGACTTGCTAATGTAGGATTTGGTTTCTTATCTTCCCAGCCCCTAGTGAGCCTTTACTGTGCAAATTCGCTGATGGAGGACAAAAGAAGAGACAGAATCAAAGCAAATACACCCAGAATGGAAGGCCTTGGCCCAGGGAAGGAGAGGTGAGTCCCAACTGGCTTGCGCTCAGAAACTTGACAGCAGACATCCCTCAGAAGAGGGGCAACACAGACGTTTGGGGTCTTGAAGAAATCAGGTCCCATGGAAAGCCAAATGGCTTTTCAGGGGGCACATGAGCAGGCCTGTGTCAATATGCTCAGGATAAAATTTCTTGAGAAAGAGCTAGGACCTCAACATTGACCTCAGTTCTGCACTACAGTAAGTCTTCTGTCCTTAAATTTGAACCCCATAGGCACTCACAGAAAAATGTATTCGCAAGAATTAATCTGTAATTGTATAATGGCTAAAAAAATGAGGGTATGAATAGTTAAGAAAATAATTTTTAGTGAAATCAACCGTGAGAGTTGAATGTGTTTTGAAACAAGCAAGCTAAGATTTAGATTGAAGTGTTCTACTTGCACACGAATGTGTATCTATGCATATGCCCAGATGTTCATAAATGTGTTACCTATCTTTATATATCAATATGAAATATAATGTTTTCTGTTGGTCAAGGAGAAAGGAAAGTCGATACGCACGGGGTTTCGATTTTTCACAACAAGGAGGAAAGCATGTAACTATTAATTACCCATTTACCCTCCTAACACATAAAGATAGAAAAGCAAGCCTATGGATTCAATTTCATTTGGAATGATTTCTTTTGATTATTTTTTTCTTGTAAGAAAACAAAGAAAAGGTGTCTGGGCTTCTAAGAGGTCTTTTTATTCTTTGTGAAAGGAATGAAGTTGTTTGAATGACTTGAATAAATGCCATTTTGTACCAAGGCCATAATTTCAACAGAAGAGCTTTATTTAGCATTTCTATTCAAAGCACCTACTTCACCCATTTATCATTTAAGAGGCATCCTATTTGATGCAGCATTTTACACTCTCAGCACTGAGAGGACATTTGTAAGGAAAGAAAAGGGGGGGGGGGTATTTTTCTCAGCCAGTCCTTTAGCCATTTTTCAGTTTCTAAGACTCAGTCTTGAGTATTTTCACGCAGGTCTCAAAGCCTCTCTTCAAGAGTATACTTATATCCAAGTACTGTATAATCTATAACTCATTACCCGCAGTCATGAAAAAGAGATTCACCATGAAGAACCTAAAGCTATTTTTTTTTAAATGGCAAGAGTCCCAATATTCTCTTTAGAAAAGCTGAATGACCCATGCAGTTGAATGCTCAGTGGGTAGCCCCACTGCCCCCAGCAGACAGCTGATTTCTGGTAGGGCTCTTTCTCACGTTGGGCCCATACCAAACATCCAGAGTCTAGGAAGATTCACTTGATCTTTTAAAATATGATGCCTGCCGAGTAGAAAGATTTCTGAATCCAAACTGTAAACCAAAAACCTCAAGGCTAAATTAGGTAACTTAGCACTAATGACTGGAAGTTCCATTCTAGTCTTCTCAAGAACCTATAATATTACAGTTGCAGTGCAGAATTGTGATGCCAATTGTAGTAACAAGCCTCGCCTTGAGTCTACATTTCAAAGAAACCAAACCAATCTGTAAGGTTTGAGGCGCAGGAAACTGATCACCAAGGAGTTTTAAAGTAAAGTTTATTCCCCAGTAATGAGTGGGACTCGTTATGGAAGTAGAGAAGTCAGAATTGAAGGAGTTGGGGAGTGGGGATGGACCCAGCCGGGCTGCCACCTGGACATGGAGGATCGTGGCTGGTCTGGGGGTCTTTTTAAGGGGAGGAACAGGAGAGGGCTGGACCCAGGGCAGAACAGGAAGGGGTGGGCTCCAGGACACTTTGGCAGGCGCTGATCGATGGCTCAATGTCTTGGGGATGTCTCTGTGACAGGTGCCAGCAATGTCATAACTCCACCCACCAGTTGGGAGGAGGGAGAACCTTATACAATCAATATAAAAGAAATGCAGAATTAGCGCTGCCACCCGTACTATGTACAGAATCTGAGCTTCTGGTGTGGAGTATGATATGAAAGAGCATGTATGCTCTTGGCCTGGAAACATTGTAGTATCCAGTTTAGGACCCAGAGCCCCTTATAATTCAAATGTAGGTATTAAAAGTATATTCCTAATGTCTGTTTTCAAAAGCTACTTTTTAAGAGCTATACATTTTCCTGTTGAATTATGAAAATCAAGGGACCTTAATAAATTTATCTACAACCAATACAAATATATTCCAAGGCTTTAGGCACGATCAGAGGAAAGAAGTCAGAAAAAGAAACGGCATGCACTAAAAATATGCTTATCAAATATATTGGTGTTGAGGTGAGCATGTTAATTTTTAGTTTTATTGTGGCCTTAGAAGTTGGCACACCAAGAATGTTGGATAACTTTGTGTGTCCATTATTAAATATGTTTGGGTCTATTTCACCTTTCATTGTACTTGCTAGCCTAAATAATATCAGTATGATTGATAAAATTTGACATAAAATACATTAATCCCAATAAGCAGTATTTAATTTTATATACCAGTAAATTCTAATTACTGTAACATGTTTTGTTGTTTTTCCACATTTTAACACTTCTGAAATTGGTTTCCTTCATATCATCAATGTCATCATTATAGGATAATTTGTGTTTGCTCCTGTTAGTCACCTGGGTGTATTACCTACATTCTCTCTTTAAGGTCTATGACCACACTGATTACATGAATTGAAGCATTAATCAAAGCAAGAACAGAGGGTCAGATTCTTAGGGGAAATTATTTCTTGTCCCCTTCCTTTATCCAGTGCTAAGACTGAGACCCGAAGTTTGTTTCTGATGGGAGGTGGTGTTTTTCATTTACTTGGTAGCCCTTTGACATCCCAGTTTCCTAAGGAAGCCATTTTGGATGTTTGCTTTTGCTTGTGTATTTAATTGTTATACAGTTGACCTTGAACAACAGGCATTTAAACTTCACAAGTTCACTTACTTGTGTGTGTTTTTTAAATATGTTTTTATTGATTTTTTTTAGAAAGAGAGATGAAGGAATAGGGATAGAGTGATCGATGAAAGAGAAACATCATTGATCAGCTGCCTCCTGCATACCTCATACTGGGGATTGAGCCTGAAACCTGGGCATGTCCTCTGAACAGGAAATCAAACCAGTGACCTCTTTGTTCATCGGTCAATGCTCAACCACTGAGCCACACCATCCTGGCAGCACATATTTCTATAAGTATAGAGTTGGCCCTTCATGTCCCTTGGTTTCCCATCCATAGTTTCAAACAACTGCAGACAAGAAGCAGTTATCAATCTACAGTTGGGAATCCACAGATGCAGAGGGCCAACTCTATGCAATGTTCTACCCCGTTTTATATCAGGGACTTGAGAATTTGTGTATTTTGGTATCTGGTTTGGGGAGGATCCTGGAACTAATCCCCCATAGATACTTAGTCAAATTTGGGAGGATTTACATTAAAAGTTATATGTGAATTTTCAACTGCATGGGATTGGCATTCGATCTCTGTGTTGTTTAAGGGTAAACTGTATACAATAATGGTAGACCTTTCAATCATCGTTACCTTAAATAAAGTGAAGGATAATTTAAATTCTGCTGCTTTAGAATTTGAGATAATAGTACAAATTGAGGCTGTTTACTTTCCTCCTTTTGAAAATCAGGTAAAAATGTTAGTGTGAAAAGCATTTCTGATGAAATACTGAACATATAAAACCACTGGTTTGCAAGCATATTGGAAATATATTAAACATGACAATTTATAGGTTAATTAAAATTTTAATTAGTTGTATAAAGCTATTTTCTTCTGGGTGGCATTTTGATAATAGTTCTTTTAGCATAGTTTAGTGAAATGCATTTTTTTTACCCCAAAAAATCCAATACTGAAAACTTATATACATAACTTAGTGAAGTTTTGAAATATAAACATATGCTGGTACATATTTTTGCATTAGAGGAAAACAAAGGAATATTTTAAAGTTATTATAAGCTCTCAAGTGACAAAGATTAGAGGTTGGGGCTATTTGGCCTTTCTTTCCCGGTGTTCCACAGATCTTACTACTTTATTTCTTAATGCAGCAGTTCTCAAATTCTTGGTCTCAAATAATTTTTTATTCTCTTAAAAATTATTATTAATTCATTAAAAAGAAATAATAAACCTATCTTTGTTGAAAGTACTATATTTTTCACAGCAAAGACAATTATTTTTGAGAATAATGACACTGCTTTACATAGTTGCAAATTATTTAATGTCTGACTTAGTAAAAGATGATCAGATTTGCATATCTGCTTCAGCATATATGTTGCAATATTCTCTTTATGTGAACATACAAAATCTAGCTTACCGTAGACATGTCATTGAAAAAGGCAGGAACTATGGATATCACAAAGGGATCTCAGGAACCCTTAGGTGTCAGAAGACCACATTTTGAGAACCATTGTCCTAGAGAAGCTTGAGCCATGGAAAGGGTTAATATTCCACTTCCACATGCCAGAAGAACCAGGCAGCTTGTTAAAATATTAAAATGTATGTGTAGTATTTGATACATAATTACTGGCAATGACCCGTCAGTGCGATTCCATTTCCTCTTCCACTCTGGTGCCTCCTTGAAGACCTCTCATGATCCAGCAAAAATGAGGTGCTGGCTGGCATAGCAGGAGTTCCCTAGGATCCTACTTCAGCATTTAGATTCTGACTGGCCAGTGCTTATGCCATACGAGAGGTAAAATGTTTTAAGGTCCTCCCAAGCTCAGAAATGGTCTCACTGTGTCATCTCTATGACTCTCAAAAAATATACATTGGCCATATATTTGATTTTATCTAACATCATATTCTCATTTCTTACTTCAGGCAATATGTTGCCCAAATTGATGTTGTTAGTATTCCCCCAAAGGACTAGTCTGGACTCAGGAATGCTTAAAACTATTCCAAAAATATACCAGCTACGTGAAGAGAAAATTCTGTTGTGTCTTTCTGTATTTCTCAAGAATATATTTTCAATGACTACCAAAAAGCCACCAAATTTGTTTGTACTCTTTGCCCCAAATAATAGCTGATCAAAAAACATTCAACTATTTTGTAAAAATAAATTGAAT